AAATGATGAACTGTCTCGTTGGGAGATGTTGATATTTTTCAAGTTGAAGCATATGAATTGTATTTGGTATAAATTTTTCATGCTTTGGTTAATTTCTACCGAATGCAGTTGAGTTGATGCTTATACAGTGTTTTATTTTTTGTATTTTCATCATTGATTGTGTAGGATAGTGAATTCATGATAAGACGTAATGTATATGGCATTTTGGATATGCATTCTTTTCAGATTTGAATTTTTATGTCTTTGGGTATGTCTAGTATTACATATACATAACATTGAAAGAGTTGTAGAACATATGTATAAACAAAAGACAAATCTATTTTAAACAAAAGACAGCTTTATTATAAACAAACTACAATCTTTATACAAACATCCGCTCAAATCAATCTATTATAACAAAAGGGAAAAATTCTTCATCATGGTGCAGGGGGTGGAGGTTGACTAGAGGATGAGAGGGCTGGAGAAGTTTTTCATCATGTTGAAAATCTCTGTCATGCGGTCTCCAATGATGTCAACTGTTTCTTCAATTCTTGATGCAAACGTGTTGAAATCACTTTGCAGTTCTTGCATTTGCCTCTCAGTTCGTGAAAAACGCTTCTTGAAACTTTTCCATCCGCTCAAATTGCTTTCTGTTTCCTGTAAAGTATGAGAACCCATATCTTCTACATTCTCAGATGGTCAGGTTCAGTACCTATTCTTCTTCTTTTGCGCACATAAACTGTTCCTTCAGTAACCCCTTCTGAATATGACACCTTCTAGAACGTCTATCTCCCTCGATTTCATCCCTAATAAGATACCATTGTCCTGCCACATTCTTTTAATCAACCCATTCTATTCAATGTCACATCCCCCAACACATTACTTGTAGAAAACGCAATCTTATTTTTTGCATCATCAGGGGTGATCTCAATTTCAACTTCTCACATATTAACGTAACTAGCATCCCCCATAATTTCTCCTTTCTCTGCAGGGATCTCTCCCAACTTCTTAATCAATAACTTTGTGAATAACTTGCCTCCCTGCTTACTGCTGCTTCTCAGACAATAAATCCTTAACCGTCACATTCCATTTGTCTCTTCCTACCATTAAATGTGAAAGTCAAGTATCTGTGAAATGCTCTCATAGCAGGATTCTGTAACTTTGTAGATTTACACCTATGTGGATGGTAAGTCTCTATTCCGGAAACATCAATCCAAGCTTGTTTGGAATCCCAGTTCCTAGGTACGTTTTCCAAACCTTCACAATCAAATCCTATCAGGTTGCTAAATCTTGGGGTGTCACTACAAAGTTCTGATTCTTAATTTAAAGAACATTATATACGCTGAAACTCATCACTGTCTGTCTCTACAACTTCCAAACTACCAAAAAACTCATATATCAAATGCCTATATCCCATAATCTCATACTGACTAAACGGTCCCATTCAAATGATTAATCCAACCATTGATTCATCACCTAAACCTAAACTTGTTAGAAGTCCTAAATCCAAACTTCTTCCAAGGCAAATATTCTTTTCGACGTCCTCGTATTGTTTTTAGTCACCAGTCTCGAAATTGAAGTGCGATGAGATGTGCCTTCTGAGGAACGGTTGTATTTTTTTCCCTCACCATTTTCTGCTTTCTTCTAAACCTGTATACGTTAAAAAATCGTCATCAAATCTGCCAAGACACATAGCCAAATTAAACCTGTTGTTCAAAAAATCCATGTGGATGAATGCCAGAAAGCTTACTACTGGAAATGAAAAGTATTGTTTGATCTTCTGGATTATGAAAGTCGTAAAATTATGTATGTTGTAATATTAAGTATCTTAGTCTATTCTCATTGTTTACTCAATTTTGATGAGCCATAATCACTTTTTAAAGGTCTTATAAGAAATGGTATTTGCAGCCTTATTAGTCTAGGTAAATTTTCTTAAACCTAATATGCCTTCTTAGAGCCTGTTTCACTTTGAGATTAAGTGCAGTTATATATTTTTGGAATTTTTTGAGAATTTGTGCTTGGTTGAAACGTTTGCAAAAATAGTTTGGGATGAACATAAAATTTAGTGAAAAAAAAAAAAAAAACACCGAAAAGAGTTGTGTTCTCTGTTTTCCAAGTTTTTAACTTTGAAAAAAGTTTTTTAATATTATAGTAAATGCGTTTTTGAATATTTAGATATGACTCAGATTTTCAGATTCCATCATACTTTTTGAAACTATTTTTGAATCACAAACAAAACAACCTTTATATTCTCCTGGCTCTTTGTGTTTGCACACATGTAGACACAGAGACACTTAATGCTTCGTTCCCTACCTTCTACTAAAATTTTATAAGAAATAATTGATTTGAGAATAATACAGTATATGTATACCGTAAAGGAATTATTATAGGCTGCCACTGGAATAAATTATAATGAGACATTAGAATGTGAAAGTAGGATATATATTTTTTGTTATGTGTGTGTGTAGGATAATTCTGTTGTTAGATTTTTTATCCAGCTACCAAGGCTATGTCCAAGCTGCTTAGTGCTTGGTGGAGTTGATTGCATGGACCTCATTTGCATACGGTTAGTTTTATTCTTCTTTCATAATGATAGTGATTTATTTTTTCTTTTACCTGTATATAATATCTTGATATTCAACAATTGCTTTGTTGGTTTTGTAGATATACCCACACGGATAACTGACACATTACCATTTGCTACAATGGATCTGGTTCTCTTGCTGCTATGGCTATGTTTGAATCAAAATACAAAGAAGGCCTAACTGTAAGTTTACCTATTAGTTTGGAATGTGTTCATTTGTGTTTGCATGGTGTATGTGATGTTGGTGTGAAGAATTAAGAATTAATTCACTTTACACCTAAATTCTGAGTTGTGAATTGTGTAGAGGGCCCAGGGACTTGCATGATCACCTGTTTTTTAGATACCCTTTTTCTAATGTCTTATGGCTTGCTGCTCAAACCAAGGGACATTTTCTTATTCGAACTATGGACTGGGATAATCTTGTTTTGTGGTGTGCAAACCTCTTTAAAGGGAAGAATATAAGGGCTGTTATAAGGAGACTAATCTTTGGGGCTGTGATCTATTTTATTTGGCAGGAGAGAAACTATAGATTGTTCAAGGGTATTCATAGGATTCGGGAGGATGTGGAGAAGATCATCTTTTATTTGGCAGGAGAGAAACCAGAACTCACATATATACATCCACCAATAATCAAGCAAACATTCTCTGTACAACTTAAAACAAAACCCAAAACACCATACTCAATTAATCCATCAGTTTGACCTGACAAATTAAACCATTCTCACCAATGTACATTATCTATCTTACTGATTATTTTTCATAGAAAGGAAATGAGAAATCAACAACATTGAAGCACGGATACTGGAAGTCTATGGCTTGTTTCCATATCGTGTATTCTTATCCTTGTTTTCAAATCAAATGTGCCTAAATTGTGCCTAAAATCAATTTATACATAGCCTAAAACCAATTTTTCATTCACGGTAGTTTACACAAACCATTTTTTTGAAATAAACTCCATTTATCTTTATCAATGGCAGAACACTTCTATTCATAATCACACAAACCCGTCCCACCAAATTGACTGGATTTTATCTCATCAACTCAACTCCATTCAACAGATTCAACCAAAAACAAAAATTTCAAAAAAAAACTTGAAAAAGGAAATGTTTAATTACTAAGACGAAGAAGAAGCGCAGAGAGTCCAGAAGAAAAACACCGCGAAGACAAAGAAGACGCAGATGGAAGACGAAGAAGATGGTAATGGCTGCCTAGGTGTTAAAAAATTTTGAAACTTCCCCCAAATGTTTTAACCTAAAACGCGAAATTTTTTTTTTTTTTTAAAATTTTTTAATAACATTATGAACGGGCGTCCATAAGTAATGGACGGGCGTCCATTCAGTATGGACGGCCGTCCACAATTAATGGACGGCCGTCCACAAGTTAGGGATGACCGTCCAGTGTTTAAAATTTTTTTTTTTTAAGAATTAATTTTGGACGGGCGTCCAAAAATTACGGACGCCCATCCAAAATTAAGGGATGGTCGTCCACAATTGGTGGACGGGTGTCCCCATGGAAATTTTTCTTTTTTTTTTTCATATTTGGGTGAAGGACGGGCGTCCATTATTTGTGGACGCCCGTCCAAAATTAATGGACGGCCGTCCATAATGGATGGACGGCCGTCCGTAAGCTTTTACAAATTTTTTTATTTTATTTTAATAGGGACGGGCATCCATATTATATGGACGGCCGTCCCTCGCATATGGACGCCCGTCCAAAATGGATGGATGGCCGTCCCTAAACTTTTACAAACTTTTTTATTTTATTTTAATAGGGACGGGCGTCCATATTATATGGATAGCCGTCCCTCGAATATGGACGCCCGTCCATATTTGATGGACGGGCGTCCATGTGAGTGAACGGCCTTCCAAATTTGATGGACGACCGTTCACTAGAAAAAAATTATAAAGAAATGGGAGAACGCGTTCCACGTCGGCCGGTACAAAAATTCGGTGCAAAAATTTCGGTGTCCGTAGTGTTATTGGTTTGTTCCGGGTGATTTTGGTTATTTTGGATGTATTTTATGGAATTAAAATTAGAGAAAGGGGTAAATTTGAAGAATTTAAAATATGAAAATGTACGGGTCAACCCTCATAAAATTTCACATACACATTTTTAGAATTAAAAAAATCCATGTCATTTATTTTTTAAAAATCCATGTCATTTATTTTTAACGGTGGTAAAGACCAGTCTCTTTGATAGTATACAAGTTTGTAACTTTTAATAAAAATAATTGATAATTTGGTACAAAAAAATAGTTCATACCTTTAATAGAAAAAAAGTTCGGTACCTTAAGCCAAATATAAATGTAAAAATATTATAAGATTCTTAAAAGTTAGTTTACATAAGGAGGTTTTACCTAAATTGATATATACAAACCACAAGTGGCTTTACTGATGGGTGCATCTAATTATTGCCAATAAACAAAAACTCTTTTATCTTTGCATTCCCTCCACAAGCAAACCAATCAATTCAATAGCTGCAATGGCTACTACCCCATCTCTACCAATAACTCAATTTTCTCCCACAAAACTTGATGGAAACACAAACGCATTTTCCCAAAGAATTGACACTACTAACCCACTTTCTCTGCTACCCAAATGCACCTCTCTTAGAGAGCTCAAGCAAATCCAAGCCTTTACCATCAAAACCCACCTTCTAAATGACCTCAATGTCGTAACAAAACTCATAAATTTCTGTACCCAGCACCCGACTACCTCATCAATGGACCATGCCCAACACCTGTTTGACGGAATTTCGGAACCAGACATTGCTCTGTTTAACACCATGGCTCGCGGTTATTCCCGCTCCAAAACACCATTTCGAGCAATTTGTCTCTTTGTTCAAGTTTTGAACTCTGGTCTTTTTCCTGATGACTATACATTTCCATCTTTGCTTAAGTCATGTGCGAGCATGGGCGCTAAAGCATTGCAAGAAGGTAAACAATTGCATTGTTTTGCTATCAAATTTGGGCTGAATAATAACGTATATGTGTGTCCTACACTTATCAATATGTATGCGGAGTGTAATGATGTGGATGCTGCTAGGCGGGTTTTTGATAAGATATCAGAACCGTGTGTTGTGTCATATAATGCAATAATCACTGGTTATGCTCGAACTAGTAGGCCAAATGAGGCATTATCGCTGTTTCGCGAATTGCAAGAGAGAAATATTAAGCCTACAGATGTTACTATGCTTAGTGCTTTATCATCTTGTGCTTTGTTAGGAGCATTGGATTTAGGGAAGTGGATACATGAATATATTAAGAAATACAGGTTTGATAAGTATGTTAAAGTGAATACTGCTCTTATAGATATGTATGCAAAGTGTGGGAGCTTGGATGATGCTGTTTCTATCTTTAATAACATGAGTGTGAGAGATACACAAGCTTGGTCGGCAATGGTTGTGGCATATGCAACTCATGGGCAGGGTTACAAAGCCATATCGATGTTTGAGGAAATGAAAAAGGCACAATTAAGTCCTGATGATATTACATTTTTGGGTCTTTTGTATGCTTGCAGTCACACTGGATTAGTGGAAGAAGGTTGCAGGTATTTTTATAGTATGAGGGACAAGTATGGGATTATTCCTGGGATCAAGCATTATGGATGTATGGTGGATTTACTTGGTCGAGCAGGACGTTTAGATGAGGCTTATAGGTTAATTGATGAATTACCTATCACGCCCACCCCAATACTGTGGCGAACCTTGTTATCAGCTTGTAGTAGCCATGGGAATCTAGAACTGGCAAAGCAGGTTATAGAAAGAATCTTTGAACTAGACAACTCTCATGGTGGAGATTATGTGATCTTATCAAACTTGTGTGCAAGAGCTGGGAGTTGGGAAGATGTGGATTTCTTCAGGAAGCTGATGAGGGATAGAGGTGCTGTGAAAGTCCCTGGCTGTAGTTCCATAGAGATAAACAATGTAGTTCATGAGTTCTTCTCTGGGGATGGGGTGCATTCTGTTTCCACAGATCTGCACAGAGCACTTGATGAGTTGGTTAAAGAATTGAAGATGGTTGGATATGTACCGGATACTTCTCTAGTCTATCATGGGGATATGGAAGATGAAGAGAAAGAAATTACACTTAGATATCATAGTGAAAAGCTGGCTATTGCTTTTGGTCTCCTAAACACTCCACCTGGAACAACAATTCGTGTGGTGAAGAACCTAAGGGTGTGTGGCGATTGCCATTCTGCTGCTAAACTTATATCATTAATTTTTGATAGGCAGATAATCCTGAGAGATGTCCAACGATTCCATCATTTCAAAGGTGGGAAGTGCTCTTGTGGGGACTTTTGGTAATAAAATTGATTGAACTTAAATCATCAGAATCATAACAGAGAAGTGCATACCTTGTGTCTTGTGACTATTTTCACCCCAAGAATTATTGGAGGGGTTGTTGCAGAGATTTCATTGCATCAAGAGCCCACACTTGTGTCCCTTATCATGCGAGAGAGCAGAGATGGAGTAGGTAAAATCTTGACAAACAACCCCACTTAGTATATCATGTAATTTACTGGGATAGAGTAAGTATAAATCAATGGCTTTAAATGTCGAAATACTTTCATGATGTAAAGAAAGAAATTTTGTTTTTCCTTGTATCTTTGACTGTTTGATCATAGTCTACATGTAAATGTATAGTATACTGTCAGATCCTTATTCTTTGTTAGTATGCACATAAAAGTAAAGTTGCAGACAATTTTTTCCTTTTTGCAATAAAAAAAATTTTTTGATTTCAGTGCTTCTATCCATCTATGAGGAGTTTATTTAACTAGGTAGATTGAATTCCGAAGAGATAGATTTGCTATGCATAGATGGCTTGGAATTTGAAAAGAACTTCTTGTGGCTTTAAACTTTGCTGCTCTCTTGTAAAGGATTTCTTATTATTCAAAGAAACAATTTTCTTGATTTGGAAATGTTTCTTACTCTAGTTATTATATTTTAATATAGTTCTTCCTGGACTGCTAAAAAATATGCTTCAAGTTTTTCTTTTTGTGCCTCTTAACCAACCTGCAACTCCACAAGGTTGAACAATATCCCTTCTCCCAACTTGGTTTAATATGATTGAACTCAAACGTATTTTTTAATTTCGATAGACCTAATTAGTTAACTAACTATTATCTTGTACCCACAATTTAGATACCAAATCATTCATGTGTATATGACCAAGATGCCTCAACATGGTCTCTTCTTGAAAGGGAGTTGACAATGGTAGGCAGACAATGGCCAGTAAATCGGTATAAAGGTAAGAAGGTTAGGTTTCTCGAACTGAACTATTTTCGTTTCCATAAATATAATTGCTTCCCCATAGATAAGTGTAACAGGTCACCCTCTGTACAGAACCTGATAAATCTGAATGCTTGCCAGAACTATAAACTAATCCATCCCTTCTCTTAATTATAATACCTGAACACATGGTGAAATTAATCTGCATTTGCATCTTTTGGATTTCTGTCTGATAACTGATATGGAAACTATTTTTGTCAACTAGAAGCACCACATTATTGTTTATGAGCAGATTCTTTGCACTATCCTGATTTGATCCGACTTATAAAATAAGCCAAGGATAAACTCAAAGCACATGACCCTGGTAATCAAATCACAATCACGATTTGTTCCACAGTTCTCAATGTGGTTCTTTAAGCTCAGTCTCATCTTGATTTCTCAACTCCTGTTTACATTGATGATACATATTAAAATAAGTTAAAGATACATTGAAACAATAAAAAAAAAAAAAGAAAAACAAAAAGAAAACAAAAGCTGAAATAGCAACCCTGTACTTGTGCACGTGTCATAAACGGAACAATAATTCATGGCCATTGTATTGCGATCCCAACCCAACAACCATTACAATGAGTCCCAGGTATTTGAATGTTTAGATTAACACTACAACTCCATAAATAAGTTCTGACAATTTGTATAGGACAGTAAATCAAAGTTATGGCATGAATGATACTTAAGTTTATTAGCTGATATGTAACTGATCTCAGACCTGATAAGCAGAATGGAAATTAGTTGCCCAAATGGTAGTGGCTCAACGTTTTGGGCACATGAATGGGACAAACACGGAACAGGGTGAGAGAATGTCCTTGATCAGCATGACTACTTTGAAGCAGGTCTCAACCTCGAAGACAAAATAGATCTTCTGCAAATTCTTAACAAATCAGGTAACCTTTTTTCTTTTTAATTAAAAATTTTAGCATATCATTTTGGTTGTGTTAAGATATATGGTTTCATGCTGCAGATGGGGAAATGTACAGCTTGTTCAGTATGAAAGAGAGTATAGAAGTGAAGTTGGATACGATCCTGGAGTTGAATGCAATATGAATGTATCGAATACTAGCCAGCTTTATCAGATATATTTGTGCATCGATACATCTGGTAAAAACCTTGTTGAATGTCCGGGGCTACTCGATGGAGGCGGAAATGGAAGATTTCAGTATCCCAATATTTGTTCGTTAGTTGGACCGGAAAAAAATTAATTCAAGCACAATATGTCCTGAAAGGAGAAATAATTTCAGTTGTAATTACTTAGACACATTGCAGTGTCGATGAACTATATCAACTTAATCATAAAGTAATGTGCCACTAAACAAAGGACCATATCAATTTTGAAATGATTTGGACATGCATAAGTGTGTGGCGATTTAAAATAAAAGTCAAATTAAAATGCATTTGAGTGATGGTGACTGATATAGCAATATAAGAGTAATACTACATCACTATGTATGTAAGACTTTGTAAACTCTTTGCACGTGTAGAAAACATAATTTTATCTTTTAAGTTTTGTTCTTGATTTTATTTAATTTTTAATTGTCTTGTATAATTAAATTTATAATCTTTAAATATAAGACTATTATCACTTTGGTGTTACAAGTTTCCAAAACTAATTTAAAAGGGTCATGAATTACATTTCTTAAAAGAAAAAGTCATTTATCACCCATGAACAGTTAAACTTAACGGAATATTGACTTAACTATGAAAAAAGATTATAATGCCCTCATACTAGTATAAACAAGAGTAACACTACACCCAGCATCGTCTCAAGATTATTTGTGACCCTAAACAAGAGTTACTACATATATCTATATATATGTTTTAAACTACAAGTTTATTCTTTAAATAGGATTTTAAAATAAACTTCTTTCCTAGGCGCGTGTTTTCTAGGTTCTCAATGGCCAAGGGATACTTAGGAAATACCCGGCTAGGGAGGGGTTTTACATCTGCTCTATCACTGTAGCATCCATAAAGATTTTTAAACCTACTTAATCAAAAAGGTGTACCTAGATGCATTTTCTTTGTTTCGTTTTTTAACATATCTAAATTGGATGGATGAATAAATATATATACTATACAGAGGAAGCATTAAAAAAGGGTATAAAAGAGAGAGAGATAGAGAGCACACATATTCATAGACTTAGTACCTTCAATCAGGCCATGTTCCTGATGCAATTGTATCACTTACTGTGAGAATAGCTACTTAGAAAGTGTCCTCAAAAACATCTGTACTTGCCTCTTTGGTTGTGATTTCTTTCATTGTAGAAGTGAAAACTGATCCTAAGCCAGGCTCAATAATACCAGTACTACTAAAATCTGAAATTGTAAGGGCCGACATAAAAGTTCCAGCAAAAATTAAACTGCCATCTACTAGCAACTTCTGAGCAAGATTTCAATAAGCTTTACTTGTTTGATTATATACGCTAAATTTAATGAAGTATAATCACTGAACAAGATACTTCAATCGAGTAAAAAGCACAAAGAAAAAAGCCTAAATTTCATTACTATTTCTGCATTTTCTAGCAATCAAATAAACCAAACAACAAGAAAATATAAAAAAGAAAGAAATACCATCCAAATAAAATAAAGAAAACAAAAATTATTACTAGACCAGTAGGAAAAAAAAAGGCTCCATAACATCATAAATTAATATATTCTCAACTCTTTCTATATCTCAATTACTTAATAAGTCTTTCAGGAAAATCATCAAACACCTGAGTTGCATTCATAACTTCACCATCCTCTGAAATCAAACATTGAGCTCAGTCCTTAAACAACTCAATATTTACTCATCAAATCAATTAAAACCTTCAAACAATAACCAGCCCATTCAGCATCTAAACATCAGGGACAGTTCTTTTATCGTTTACCAACTGATTACATGTATACTTAATCGTTTAAAATAGAAGGGGCAATAGTTCTTCATAAATTTCTGCAAGGTCTAGGGGTAACTCTTTTATAAATCTTTCTAACACATCACTACACATTTTATTTCTATATCCAAATGCATTAGTCAAACACGCACCCCAGCAACATTTTAAACACATCACTACACATCCAACATAAAACCCATAGTTGCAATAAATCATGAAGTGAGAAGCTAAGATAGTAAAGTGAAAAAAGTTTACCTGGTCAAACCTTATGGATCAGTAGCTAAAGACTTGATACTTGGTAGTAGTTGAAGAAGAAGCAAAGAATCAATTTAGTAGAGAAGAGAAAGTAGAAAAGTAGCGGTCGGTGAATGTGAGATTCTGAGAGAGGAGATGTTGATGGTGGATGGCGACGGTTTGACAGTATGAGACTATGAGAGATGACGAGAGTGAGTGAGTGTGACTGTGTGAGAGAGCCAGAGAGGAGATGTCAAGGCAAGGGACTTAGTTTAGGGTTAGGGGTTTCAAACCCAAAATAATTTGGGTTTTTTTTTATAAAGATAAATAGGTACTCGCAAGTTTACCCAGGTTTAGGGTTGATTCGAAGGTCTGGCCCCGTTTTGCCAAGTCTACTACTTAGTGTAAATCAAGAGGCAATGATAATGGAAAACAGGTACTTAATGATCCCAATGTTCCTACACATTTTCATTTGAACCTGAGCAATATGGTGGCACAATACATCACTACATTTTCGTTTGGAAAATGAATCCCATCAATTTGATATTTGGGAACATAAAAGAGATTATTGTTGATGGAATAGGAACAAGTTTTTTTTTTGTTTTTTTGTTTTTTTTTGGTAAGTAAGATTTTATAGAAAGGGGACAGAATATACAAAAGGCCTAAAAGTCGGCCAATTTACCTTAGGACAAGCCCTGGGTTAGGAGCAAATGAATGATACTATCTATATCTACCCCTAATCTTCGCTTTTTCCCATTCCTCTTGTGAAAGGAATGGAACCAATCAGAGATTAAAGAATACAATGAATCACACCTACCATAGGACATGCCCTGGGTTAGGTTCAAAAGTATCAGAATACAAAACCCATATGCATAAGCATTAACAAGAAGAATTCCATAAACATGGACATTAACAAGGTTGGGCCCGTTAATGACACAAAGACAAAGCCCTAGATCAACATGGAATAGGAACAAGTTGTTTTGCTAGGAATATGTTGAGGATGATCGAATTAGAACCCTAAGGAGACTAAGTCCTTAAAACCCTAATCTTGAGACGCCACAAAGGTTGATCACTCCATTTGATAAGTTGAGATTCAAGCATTTAATCAAGAATACAAGAAGGAAAAGCAAATAGTTTTTTTGAAATAAACTTCAATCGATAATAATCTGTCCCCAAAAAATAACATGGCTACCCCTTTTTATAAGCAACAAATCCTAAATGAAATTCCTAGCTAATTGAAAAAGGGGTTAGGCCTAAGTACCAGCGAATTGGG